GTAAGTCTTATTTTTTCCACATAAGCTTAATAATTATTAGACTTATTTCTCACTTTTGCTTGTTCACATATTTGTTTTGCCATTGTGAATTAAAATTTCCCCCATTACATTTTCAAACTGGTTAACGCTGGTAGACAGAAAACAATTTTGGAATTCTATTTCCCAAGCCTTTTCTACATCGCATACACCTTAGCTAAATGTAGACACATAACCCTTATCCTAGGTTTGTGTTATGGGCTGAGGCGTGTCCCCTCAAAAATTCATTTGCTCAAGTCCTAAGCTGCAGTGAGTGTGACTGTATTTGGAGGCAGAGGCTTAAAAGAGGTAATAAAATTAAAATAAGGTCTCCTTAGGGTGGGCCGTGATCCAATGTGTTTGGTGTTCCTAAAAGAAGAGGAAATTTGGATGCAGACGGGAGCAAGGAGGGAAGACCACATGGAAACACAGGGAAAAGAAGGCCATCTAAGAGCCAAGGAGAGAGGCTCAGAAGGAGTCAATTCTGCCGACACCTTAATCTCAGACTTCCAGCCTCCAAAACGGCGAGAAAATGCATTTCTGTTGTTCAAGCCAGCCGGTCTGTGACACCTTGTTATGGTAGCCCTAGCAAACTAACAGAGGGGTCTGTATTAGGATAGGAGCAGGGGTTATGAGAAGTATAGGGGCTTTCCATGACATGCAGCTATTTAATCACAAGGCTTATTATCCCTGAATGAGACAATTTCGAGATGACTTTGAATTTGAAAAATAAAACTGCCAAAGCTGTGGGTTTTTTTTTGTTCCCGCTTTTCTTTTCTTTTTTCAAAGCTGTGTTTTTGATGGGTTTTATTTCACTATAAAAATCATGTGCTTCGTCTCTAGGGTAAGAAAGAATTTTATTATTAGAATCTCTATGTTTATCTTTTCCGTTTTTCCTCCAACAATTGCTGCAATGTTGGCCAATTAAAATAAGCACTGTCTTGCAGCTCTAACTCTAGTACAACTTGAAGCCTGGTTTTCTAAGTCCTGATTAATCTTTTGTATGTTTAGCTTGTATCTGGTCACCTTATTAGTCTAAATAGTTTTCCGTTGATCTCTTGGGTTTCTAGATAAATGATCAGGTTACCTGCAACACCCACTTTTTCTGTCTTTATTAGCTGTTGCCTGTCTGCTACCTCTGCCTCACTCTTGCATTAGCCTTTAGTGTTTATAATCCACTGACCCCTAACTCAGGGAAACACAGAGTGGCTCAGGGATGGAACAGACCAGTGGATCCACACCTCCCCTGAATCAGCTACTTCCTTATGTGGGAAGAGAGGAAAATGAAAACACAGAAACACCTTGTAAAAGTGGTATCCAGGGACCCACCCACTACTGGGAGGGCATAGTATTATCAGAGTGGCCATGCTTTATTATTTTTCTCTGAAGAGCGATGGCTGCGGTTCTTTGCATTGGCTTAACAAATGGGGAGTTCCAGAGAAAAGAGGAGAATAGCAGAGGGAGAGGTAAAAAATCAGAAATGGAAGAGTGAGAGAACCGAGTGTGATCCAGGGGCGGTGGGGGAAAGCCTGCCTTTGTAGACCTAGATCTATAAAAGTGTGTTTCTTTCAGTTTTCCTTAGAAGCACAAGTTGGTATACAATGCGCACCTGACAGATGAAAAGTCACAGTGACATTTCAGTGCTTCCATTATGACTTCCTTGTTTGTAAATTATTTTACCTGTAAAATTTTCATTGTAAACTTTAATGAATAGGGGTTTTCTATGACTACTCAGTAGTCCTAGAAAAATCTCCATACTCCTTTGCCCTCACTACTTATTTCCCCCCTTCAAAGGAGTCAATACTATCAGGAATTTATTAGGTAAGCAAAATAAAAAAAAAAAAAAAAAAAAAAAAAAGAAATTGGCCAATATTTTGGGCATCCTTTTCCCATCCCCAAGATGAGAACGTTTAACTTCTCTAACTTGTCTCCATTAACTACAGAAATATAATCAAGATGAAATTTTTTTTTTTTTTAACAAAAAAGAATGCTTCAAGGTTTTAGCAGGAGCTAACTTTAGTAGTTTTAAATATGGCACTCCCCGAAAACTACATTCTAATAGAAATGCCAGACATTTTTGATGCTCCCAGAGCCACTCATCAAGAGACACCACAGGGTAAGGCAAGGATCCTCGAAACTTTAGTCTACTTAAAATCAACGAGGCAAAAGAAATTACCTTCCTAGCTCCAGGATACAGCATGTTGTAAGCAAGCATCACATATTCACTGGTTGCAAGAGCAACTGTAAATGGCAATGGAGGACACAACTCGAAGCTGAAATGTAAAATAGGAAACACGTGATTTAAGACTTTCAGTCTGTCCTTCCTATGTTCCTTCTCTTTACTTAACCCCCCTAATTATCTCTCATCTATTTGCTTTCCTCTGCTTACTTGCTGTAAATGCTTTTTTTGAAAAGCATCTACTGTCAGTCCTCATACCTTCGTGCCAATTTAAGTCAATACATCTGCCCAAAACATTGGCATTTTAAGCCTGATTTTTACCAGGGCAGTGAAACCCTTGGTCCTTCCGTGAAGAATTACTAGGTGTCAATGACCAGTCAGGAAAAGATTCTAGTGACTTAGCTACTCACCCATTGGCGAACCTCAGAATCCTGAACCATGACAATGATGTAGTATTTTTAGGTTAAGGGACCCAGAGCCCCAAAACTGGCTTGCTTCCCACCGTGGAGATTTGGGGCCACCCTGGCTAGTGCGGTCCCTATCTTATTTTCCCTCTGCCTGTTGACTGCTCCAATCTTAGTAGAGTTTAACAAGGACTCTTTACCCAGGGTTTATGACATCTGGAATCTCTGGTATCTAAAAGTATGTAAGAGGTGGCTACCAATCTGCCACTAGGAAGGTTCACTTAAGTAAATCAGTATTGAGTTCAGTTTCTTTCTAGATAGTTCCACCCATACTTTGACCTACTTTAAAAGACAAGTTGAGATAATGTTTTAATGGGAGTTAATTTTGTATCTTTGAGAATATTTTGACATATTTTATGAGATGACATGAATCATTCTTTCCACACAGACAGATGGAACTTCTCAGCGTAATCCCTGAGCAATCCATGGGCTTTGAGCCCTTAATCCAAAAAGGAAGGCTCTCTATGGCCTTCTTTAAACACCAAGATCATGTTCCTACTTCTAGGGGCTTCTGGTTGGACCCACAGCCCAGACAGAGCTTCTGGGGGATTAATTTCTTCATGTGATCCCACATGAAGGTGGGGCACCAAAACCTAGGGCTGCGATCCTAACCAAGCCAACAATTAAATTGTTTTAGGCTTCCACTTGGCAAATACTTAGCTATTTTAGTCTGGTTTTCAATGCTGGCTAAATTGATCATATTAAAGTTTTAAAAATTCAGTATGTTCCTCTAATTTACTAGAATCAATAGGAATGAACTATATACACAAAGACATTTCAAAATTAAACAAGCTAATTTGACCAGGTGCAGTGGCTCATGCCTGTAATCTCAGCACTTTGGGAGGCTGAGGCAGGAGGATTGTTTGAGGCTGGCCTGTGCAACACAGCGAGACCGATCTCTACAAAAAATTAAAGAATTAGCCAGGCATGGTGGTTCATGCCTGTAGTCCCAGCTATTCAGGAGGCTGAGGCAGGAATTTGAGGTTATAGTGAGCTAAAATCATGCCACCGTCCTCTAGCCTAGGTGACAGAGCAAGACTTTGTTTCCAAAACAAACAAAAAACCAAAAGCAAAAAAAAACTAATTCAAGAGATTTGTAATTTTAAATAACTTAGAATCATGTTAAAAAGCTCTCTGACTTCTCCCTCCTTACCAGAGGGTAAAAACAATTAAATACTTATTTGCTACAGTGAAAAATGTCTTAGTTACACATAACTGATCACTAATTATTAAAGGCTATGATACGATGGAAGGAATATTTGAGGAGCTTCTTGCAGATCAAAAGTGTCAAAGTGACTAGCTCATTAAATGGCAGTTGAAGTGTAGGATCTCAGATGCCTGATCCCTGGTGTCATGCTTTAGGAGCAACTGATACTTTTTGGAATGTTCCATGAAGATCAAGGGTATGTGAAGACATCTCTTATCTCATGGTACTTGCTAGTCATACAGTAGGCCGTCGGCTGCCGGGTGAATATTCTTAACAATATAATCGTTTCAATGTATATTGTACTATACTCTGAGATTTAAAAGTTTACAAATAAAAAAGGAGTTTAAATAAGTATGAAATGTATGCGTTTGGTATGTGTGATACATATATATGCTACATTATTACAAGTCATATTAAAATTTATTTTAAAAATACATGGTCACATCAGAAAGCACATTTTACAGTGGTAAAGCAGCAACAGTTTTTATTACAAATGCTAAAAAAGAAACCAACTTTGTCAGTAAAAAGGAACAATGATTATCATTTAAAACATTTAAATTTAAAATTACATACTAAACAAAACAATCTTTACACTCACACAAATCCAATGTCTTTGTTGGTTTTTACAGACACGTAATTTCTGTAGGGTTTTGGGCCCTATGAACAATTTCTATTAAGTACAATGATAACAAAATAAAGCAATAAAACAACTGGGCACCCCTACTGGACAACGAAGATAAAAAGCCCATCAGTCAGGTGTGGGCCAAAGAGACCCACTCCGTGAGCAATACAAGGCTCTTAACCGCGTGGGTCTTGGCCACACACTTTGCACAGGCCGTCACTGCGTGTGCGGGGACTGTGATAGGCCAGGCCCTACCGTGCCAGTTCCAGGAATCGGCTACCCCTTCCACGAGTCATCAAGGTTCCTTGGTCCTTACTCATCTTGATCTACTCATGGGATATTGAGAAATGAAATTAAAGACCCCAAACTACCTTGCTTTTACTTGAAGTCTTTCACTTCTATCCCATCATTCTAACACCCCACCCAGAAGATCTTTGGATGCTCCCACTTTGCAGGTTGCCTGACCCTGGAACCGGCCTGGGGTCCCGGTTATGATCCCCACGGGCTGTCAGTGGTCAGGGAAGGCTCTTTCAGGCCCAGAGATTGCGAAAGTGGCTTCAGCCATGGTGCTAAGTAAAACACTCTAGCACGTAGCGTTACTGATTGGGTTAAGCCCTAACAAAATGCATTTGAAATCAATAAGGCTAAACTGTGTACACACAAATAATAACAAATATTACAAAAACCGACAACCAAACCAATAACACTAAAAGCTCAGACTTCTCAAAATCCAGAAACCTATTTTAAAGTGTTTAAATATAATGATATAAGAAAAAAAAAACTCAGCTAAACAAAGTCAAGCAACCTTATTTTCACATCTACGTGACTAAGAAATATGACCTTTGCTGGCATTTATTTATCACAAGAACTTCAGTACGTTTCCCCTTGACATTTAAGAACATGTTGGAGAACTTTATAAAGTAGAAAGTGTACAAAGAAGGCACTGTTTTGGCACTAACAAAAAGGACAGTTAATTTCACCTCGCCCCCCCTCCCCGAATCACAATAACCATGTAAACTTTAATAACCCACAATGTACACGCTAAACCCAATCCTTTAAAGTCCCACGGAAATTGTATTTAACTGACAATCACTTGAAACATATCAGGAGAAATCATGAATAGCACAGGGAAGGGAGAGTGGGAATCTTGGCACAGTTTCATCATGGGGTTTGTAATCTTGGGATATGCCCTGACTTAAGAGAGCAGAAGGCTCATCTACTCCCTCTGTTATCACCACTGGAGGGCGATTACTTCCCCTTATTCTCCCCGCTGAGCATTTAAATCAACTTAGAAAATAACTTGATAAAAACAGATTCTAATCCAAAATATTCAAAGTGTTTTATTGAAAAAAAATTTAACAACTACCTGCGAACACCCAGGACTTTGGAAATATTTTGGCTAATATTTAAATTAAAAAAAATCCTTTATTCATAAAAAGTAAAAGAAGACAGGCTGTTATCTTTTGAAGAAGATAATCCTGAAAATGATATTTTCTATCAACTATGGTTGGTTATAGTAAAGTTCTGTATTTCAACGTTAGTTTTTCTTTTATATCTATCTAGCTACATATATCTCAAATGATGTTTTAGTCTTAGTTTTCTTGATCTCTGGGGAAAATGTGATTAAAATAATCTGTATTTTCGTACATTTCAAAGGTTTCAACGTAAGTTTTTCTTATAAATAGTTTTTGAATTTGAGTTTGCATGGCAACCTTCTTAAATGTAGGGTTAGCATTGCCTTTATGTGGTAATTCACAAATCATTCTCTTTTTCTGAGTATAAAATTAAGGTGCTAGTATGAGAAGTTCTCACTAAAAAGGTTGAAAATGTATTTCCGAGGGTAAAAAAAGAAAAGCAATTTAAGCTGCTTTTACTCAATCACAATTATTATAATAAAAGAATGTGCATATGTATTTTTTAATTTCCGAAGATGACGTTATATATATAAGTTTGATGGATCACTAGTCAAACTACACAAAACGTTTTGATAATTCTAAGAAAGTAAAAACAACATTTTGTTCAAAAGGTTATGAATTCAAATATAGGAACACAGAAGGGCCAAAGAGCTAGTAGTACTGGCTTTGACTAAGAAACACAGAGCAGGATAGATATGTCAGAAAAAGTGTCACAGAAACAAGTAAACAGTAATATCCAAATGTCCGCTACCCCCACTCCATTTCAGATTATAAAGCACCTGTTATAATGCACTAGGGTTTAGTGATTTCATATTAGAAACATTATAAATATTTCTTAAGGAATCTATCTATGGAAAATATACATATAAAATTGCTGTATGTTTTAAAATAGTTTAAAACCTAAAAGTTTTGTATAAGCATATCTATTAACATAAAACATTAATTTTTCTCCACAATAGTTGGGATGTTTTACCCACATAAAGACATCATATCCAAAGCCCGTCATAAACGCAACTTACTTATACAATGACATTTAAAATGCACACACACACATACATACACACGCACATACACTCACACATACATATGTAACTGTGTTTACATACAAACACACTCATCCATTTGTGTCTTCACAGGAAAAAAAAAAAAAAGCAGTCACCGCCAAAGCATCTTTTCGTGATATTTGTGTTTGCAAAGTACTTCGAGGTGGAAAGATAACTTTTAACTAAATTCTGTTTCTAATTGAACACAGTAGGTAGAATAGCTTTAGCTGCCTATCGCATTCTAAACAAATTTCTTGGTTTTGTTAAAGTAAAAGATTTAAATATTCATATATGAAATTGCTCACGTTCCCTGTGTGAAGGGCCTATTCTAGATCGATTATAGAATACAAAGGGTTTTCAGTATCCCGCTGCGACAACACGGATGTATGATTGTGCCTGCAGTCCTTACAAAAATATTTCACCCCTTGCTGATCCAACTCCTTCTCTCTAGTAAAACATGCAGCTTGAAAGAGAATTCTGGGCTTCAGATTTTACCATGTGCACCCTGGAAACTGTGGAATGTCGGTAATGAGTTCTGTGTCAGGGATGCTACAACACTAGCAGCCAGAAACCCAGGTTTTCTACCTGCTTCTGTGACATTTAGTCACAATAAACTCTTGGCTATTCAAAACAATTGCAGCTTGCTTTGTAATGGCATCCACAAAATAACTGACCTCTTGGAAGAACTATGAGGAAAAAAATGCTCTCCTTGCCTTTGGATGATGCAGGTCAACTGGCATGCTTGCTACTGTTCACCATGGTATCCTGGGAATGTAACCCACATATCCGTATCTAGCCTCTGGCCTCACTTAATGAACTATTTAATTATTTGCACAAAAAATAATTGATGAGGAATAAAACGCACTGCAGATAAATAGTCCACTATTAGAGAACCCAAAAAAGTAAGATAGAGCAATTAGAAAATCTTACATAAAAAAATTTATTTACTCACATACAAAGGTTACTGTGTTCATATAGCTTTAATTCAATTTGGTTTATTTTTTAGCTTGAAGTGTTAAATAATGTTTTTAACCAAAATATTTGCTTCCCCAACCACTGCTGGGTTATTGTAGAATACGGGAACTTGCATTCATAGGCTTAGTGTTGTCATTTAAAAGTAAAAGGAATAAAAAGTGCTCAACAATTTATGGGGGGCAGGGAGGAGGAAAAAACACGCCTAAATGTTTCCAAAAGAAACGTCAGAGGCAAATTAGATCTGAGCCCCTTAAATTGGGCCAAATGTCCTGTAATATCGAATAGGCACTTTAATATCAGAATAGGGGAATTTTCTTAATCTTCCTTCATCTTTTTCTCTTCTGTGTGTAGTAAAGATAGAATTTGCTGTGGTAGCTGCTCAAATCCAGGACAAGATAAAATAAAAATAGCAACAAAGGAGTGAACTTTGCCTGATGAGGTTAAAAAAATCTGAACTGTGATTTAGTTATTAAGGAACGGAAAACGTATGAATCATTCCGCCAACCGTGTGATCTGGGAGAGTCTGTTGGCTTATTTTAAGTGACTTTTTAGAAAAGGATGCTTAGTGTCTACTTATGCAAGCACGTGTCCTACTCTGAGATCTTCACACATACCCTCATCGTGGCCACTCACACGAGCGTTCTGGCCATGGAGGTCACCTTTACTGTTTAGTCTAAAGGGTCCCAAGTAGATCACAGCACCTCTCTCAAGTTCCTGAGTGGGCTGAGGGGGTACGTCATTCACAGTAGGTGAAGGCCTCCTATATAAGGACCACTGATCTCAAAGACAAGAGTTCAAAGGGATGCCAGCTGGTGACATGGAATTCTACTCCTACCCGTGTACTACGACACAAGCTAACACTCCTATTGGCTAAAGTTTTAGCAGACTATCCTACCTCACAGGAAAAAAAACCTGTATCACACCCACTACTGGCATTTACAACTTCCAGAAAAGGCTCCTTCCTGATCCCCTCCTCTCACCACTGACCAGTGACAGACGCCATGACACCAATGATAGGTAGCTGCATTTTTAGCATGCTCTAAATTGACGTTAATGAAGCCTAATAAAGAAGAGTGACCATTATTTCCTCAACTACCAGGGGCACCAACAAAACTTTTCTATTCAGTGATTCGCCTCTATTTCGGTATGTGCAGTACACGCCACTGATGAATGACAACACTGAAAAAATGTAACATGGTAATAGTAAAATACCAACTCACTTTGAACATTCATGTTCCCAAACGTATCCACACATACATACACATACACACACACTCCCGCACTCCCACTATTTGGGGGATATTCATCACGGAGGAAAGAGCTCAGGTTTCCCGGGCACACAATTCACCATCTGGGGAGATGCTGTCCAGGTGAGTAAGTACTACTTAGGGTGAACCACTGTGCAGCACCCATGACGACCTAGCATGATGACGGCATCCTGTCATGGTTTACTCAATGTAGGGTATGTATGTTAAGATCGTGACCAGCTCTGCTCCGGCCAGCGTTAGCATTCGCTCGTCTTTTCATGGAATATGAAGGGTAAACTGAGATGCCTTTGGTGATGGTCATTTGCTGGAATGGCAGATTTCTCTTCTGTTGCTGCATTAATGTCGTCTGAATAAGCATCTTCACCATCATCTTCAGCTCTCAGATTACCCTCCAGGCTGTGTCTAATACCATAAGCAAAGTATATCAGGAAACCTTTCAGGGAAGGGGAAAAAAAAAAAAAAATCAATGTTTCAGGTGTGTCAGGACATGACTGTTTTAATGTGCAAATTTTAATACACAACTTAACGGCGTTTTTAGTCTTCTCTGCCTGTGCTATTTTAGAAAAATAAAATGCAAACACAGGCTAACCCACAGAAGGTCTCCTTGATAAATGTTTTCCTGGTAGGATGTGCCTCTTCATTTTTAAGATCGTAACTTTATAGAATGTTTTTCTCCTAACAAGTTTTTTAGATAATGTTTATACAGAAAAAAAAATTTATATTTATGTTCTCAAAACTCCATACTATAATAAACAAAATGACAAATGGGACAAAGTCTCAAATCACATCCTGAATACAAGTAGTGGAGTATCAGAGTCATGGCCAGATATTTTAGAAAGCATGCCCTGGATTGACAAAGGGGACATGGACATGCATCACATGTCACTGTCACCAGGAGAGGCTAAAGAACTGTGTACAAAGCAACCGTTGATTAACAGCCTTGCTGACTTTGTGCAGAGTAGGAGGCAACGTTTTAGCTATCCTCTTAAGATAATTAGTTATATGTAGGCATTTTGCCGTGTTTTAGCTTTATTTTAGAAAATTGGTTGAGAGTTTTGGGTTGATATGAAATGTCTTTTTCTGGGCTTCATTTTTCTCACTTGCAAGTTGGAGAAAAATAGGACCTACACGGTTCTACAGGATTACTGGGAGATTTGAATTAAAAAAGCTCCTGGAAAGGTGGCACTCAGATGTTCTAAGAATTGGGAAAGGAAGAAACTAAGAAAAGCCTTTATTTCCAGGACTGGGGAGAGGATGCATTTCTCTTATCACAGCACGTGAACAGGAGAGAGAGGGCCAAAGTTTGGAAAGCTAAAACGTTAATAGACCTACCAAGTGCCATCCAAATGCTGAATCTGATCCAAGTGTCTGCACTCAACTGGACCATCAAGTATATGTTCACCAGGATGCTGAATGCTGGCAAAAATGGTAAGAATGGAACCTAAGGCGGAAAACAATCCTTTAGGATGTGTTCACATTTTGAAAACATATTCCCCACATTATTTCAACATGATGGCAATTATCTGACATACATACTTCCACACTATGTCAGTAACTGTATATTCCTACAAAAAGGACAACCTGAATAAAAACCGTGCTTCTAGAGATCGCCGAAAGGAGAATCTCATTTTATTTATTGAAGCTTAGGGCAATAGGAGATTTATTCAACCTGCTAACACCTGCATCGTTGTCAAGATAATATTGGTTTTAGGGTTCAGTTTTGTTCGGGGTTTACTGGTTCAGTTCGGACATCAACATGGCATGCCTCGGGAACTCTGGGCACACGTGTATCCCAGGGGGTACTTTCAGGAAAGCCAAAACCTGCTCTGAGTTCAAACAGGACAGGATAACTTCAACTTGCAGAGGAAGGGCTCTTGGTGCGAATAAATCCTTATGAAAGGGCACTGGATTTCTAAAAATAAAATATTCTACTTATTTTTCTGTTATTAATAGATTATTTAACAAGAAATTTGTTTACTATTGTATATAACACTATTGCGACAGGAGCATATTAAAGTTTTTGCCAAAGGCAGGAAGACACCCAGTGTAGGGAGGACACAGTGACCACAAGGAACATGTCAAAGGATTCTGACACTCTCATTCACTGGTTAATTTCGGTAGATTTTGGTTTTTTTTTGGAAACGACTCACAAAACTAACCTACAGAGAAGGTGTACGTAACATTGCAGATCGCTAATCCTCACCACACGTACCATAAAGGCCACTTCCTGCTGATTCTGGGGCTGCCTCCAGATGGTGAGGATGACGGCAACGCAGAGCAGCAGGACGAGCGCCAGAAGCGCGAGGCTCCAGGCTTCCAGCCGGGCGATGGCCGGAACCCCGTAAGTGGTCAGGACGCTCAGGCCCAGGATGAGAAACGCTGCCAAGGTGACAAGTACACAAAGCAAGGTCAGCACACGCACTTCACTCGGATCGCTCCGTTCAAACCTCACGCTCTTTACGTATCTACTTCGCCAAACGCGAAGATTCTTCATTACGACCTTTCTTCTTTTTCATCGTAGAAAGAAATCCCACAGTGAATTGGCGGATTTCACTGATCTGAGAGACTCTGCCCGTTTACTCATCACTCTCCCCTCCTTAGAAGTCAGCCTCGCTCGTGGTGCTACCGTCCTGCTCTGCCTGCCTGTGTGCCACCTGTGTCCTCACTTGTCACCCTCAGACTGTATCACACAATTGATGGGATGCTGTTGGGGTGGATACTTCCCTTTCTTTCAAATGGGAAATGGCAAGACTGTCTATTTTAGGCTGCTGTAAACATACATTAATAATACTGCATGCTCTGTGCCTTTTGTGCCTGTTTCAGAGGAATGACATCACCACCCCCTCAGCCTACCTCTGACCATCACATGTGCGTGCGGGGCCCCTCCTATTTGCCCTGGGAGAAACCTGCACTTCCCTAGCTTGTCACCAACTATCCTGTCTTGGAAACCCAGTGAGAGCAAGGACCGGCTCTCTCGATATCCCAACTGCCTAGCAGGGTGCCTGGCACATGGATGATGCTCGAACAACGCTGCTGAAAATATGACTGATTGTGTAACTGTGGGTGAGCAAACAAGGAGTTTCTACATTGCCTCCCAATCCCCTCGGGTTCCAGTTCAGTCACTGGCAGGTGTCCTTGGCCTGATGCGTCCACAGAGAGCACCCTGACAGCTTGTACCTCTGCCACTCTCGCCTTGGGGAATTTCTTCCTCTCTTCTTCAATTGTCGAGACATGATCAATTTATCCTGCTGATATAAAGATGATCTCAACTACTAGCGACTCTTTAGGTGGAAATTTCAGGGTTCGGGGTGGTTGCTAACACATTCCAGGGCAATGTGAGGCCCTCTGTCCTCTCTTGCATGGTACCAGCTCCACCTACTCACGTCTTCTGGGTCTTTACAACGGAGGCAGGGAGCAGACTTACCCAGGAATCCCACCAGGAAGCTCACGAGAGAGGACGACTGCTGTGTAGGCAGAAGGGAGGGGTTGAAGAGGCTCTGCAGGATGGATCCCTGTCCTTGCAGCATGGTGACCTGGGACTCGCTTTTCGAGGTGGCGCTGGGACATGCTTCCAGACCTTCCTTCTCAGGAGAGTATTTGGGCTGCTCGTAAGATAAGCTGGGCTGGTACCTGTCCCCAAATAAATATTTGTGTCTTTAATCTCAGACACCGGCCCAAATGAAACAAGCACCTAAACCTCTAAGTAGGACACCTGACAGAGTCGCAGCGTGTGCAGTAAACCAATATTTCTCATGATTCCAGCCCCAGAGCGTGCTGAGCCAGGCCACTGACCTTTCCAATAAAATACCTGCAGCCACTTAATTAGAAAGTTATATATTAGGTGCAGAAGAAAGTTAAATTTTAAAGAGAGGCAACTATGACAATAGGATAATGATTCTGAAATGACCTATGCCCACAGGAAATGCAGTTCATGAAAACAGCACAGAAACTCTGGCTAAATCGCAGCTACAGAATAATGCAGTCTTCAGCTCAGCATTCAAAGCCCTCATCACGACCTGTCTCTTAGGTCTCAAATTTTCCTCTCAACTCCTCTGGTCTAACCCAGACAAGTTCACCCGGCCATTCTGCCACCTCCCCACCCTCGTCTGACATTGTCCTCTGTTATTCTATCTTCTTCCTCTAGAGCTTATGTCAAGACACCAGCCTGCTTCGCCTCCTAGCGTGTTCCCCGGGAGCCCCCAGCGTGGCTTCTTCGCCCTCTCAGCAGCCTTTGCCTATTTTTGAAAGTACCATTTTTCTTCCACATAAAGAAATATGCTCACTAAGAAAAATACTCAAAGTATACAGAACAACATGAAAATCATGCATCATACCACTACCCGGTGTTAATCTCTGTTAGCATTTTGGTACAATTTCATCCAGGCATGTGTGTGTGTGTATGTGTGTATATACCTGCATATACCATTTCCTTATGTAAATTTATAAATAATTTAAGTAACTTCTGATGCTATATATATTGTAGCTTTGTATTCTGAAACCGATATATTTCTCTGTATAATTAAGTATCCTTTTATTTGCTGTAGAAGAGTCCAGGAATACCTATATCCTCATTTATTTAACTACCCTCCTATTGATATTCAGGTTAGTTCCATTTTTTTCATTATTGAAATCTACCTTTTCTATAAACAACCTTACATACATCTGTGTGTGCCTCTGATTAAATCTTCAGCATAAAATCTTAGCAGTTGAATCACTGGGACAAAAAGTATAGTATTTTTAAGTGTCTTTATTCAATATGAGAAATTGCCTGTCATATAAATTGGGCCAACCTGTCACTAATGATCAAACTGTATTTGATTCTTTGCAAAGGCCTGGTTGTTTCTATGGACCTGGCCTCACCTCGGTGAGACCGTTAGCTCCTGGAAAGCAAGGATGGTGACGCTCATTTTCTTCATTCCCTCTGCCCCACACGGCAAACCCTACAGAACCACCTGGCAACTCACCTGAGGATGAGAACACAGGCTGCGACCAGGGAGTAGGCCATGAGCGTGCCAATGGACATCATGTCCACGAGCACCTTCAGGTCAAACAGAAATGCCATCACAGCTATCGGGAAAACAAAAGAAAGTAAATGAACGGCCCAGGAAGAAACTGCGTACAGTTAATAATTTTCAAGTCAGGGACAACTGACAAAGACATTTTGTTTTAGTACCAAGGATAAGTTAAGCGAAGTTACGAAAAACATCTCTCTCACAGTAAGATATTCTTCAGGTCATATAAACTGCTAATAAGACTTAAAAAACCCTCAGCTCTCTAGTGAGTACAAAGCACATTCTACTTGATTACTTAAGAAATATTTGGCCTGACAAACAGTGAAAATACTGTATGACAGAATACTGTCCTTTGATGTTTCAGAAGACAAACATTGCTAGGAAACACTGGCTAGCTAAAAACATTCGAACAGAAAGGGCATTCATTGTGGATGTTATATAATCATTTGAATTCCCATATGCATTATGAGTTATAGCATAGATAACTCAAAATTATCTTAATTTTGAAAAAGTAAAATAAAATAATTTTCAATTAAATTATGCTTTCGATGTAGGCTATATTCTACTATGATTAAAGCCGTGCATTCCAGGTAGACTGACCATATCTGAGAGATCAATCTATGGTCCTGCACACCAAATTGAGATAATGTTAAAAAGCAAAATATACTTCGGTAGTGGAATAGTGTAACTTGTACTTAGCTATCGTTTGCTCCATTGAAACATCAAAATTGTGATAATATTGACTTGAATTTACCACGTAGTTTTCCCTATCAGAGTAAGTAGATACCGTGTTCCATTTATATGGTGTTCCAGATCTCTCTACGAACTCTATTATCTCATTTTATCTTTAAGTCAATGATCCTACGAGATAGGCTATTATTTAGTTTTAGCCATATAAAATGGCTGGTACTTGACTATTTTTCACATGGTTTAATCTAATAGGATTATGCCCATTTTACAGACAGGCTAATTTAGCAAGGCTACAACTACTGAGTAGAGGCAGAGTTCCACCTAAACCAACATTCCAAGGGTCCTTCTACAACTTCTACAGTAACACATTGTTTCTTTAAATACACTGTATGCTTCACTTTGAAAACTCTTCATTGCTAGTATACTTATGCATTAAATTATTAAAATTTCAGTAATTTTTATAAGAATCACAGAGAGCCAAATAAGGTAGCCAAGAGAGAAGAAAATAATGAATTATTCACACAAGCTCTCTGATCTAAGTTAAAAACAAAGAAAGGGAGATATGGGAGTATAAAACCACAAAAAAATATTTTAGAGCATTTTTTAAAAGTGGTCTATTATAATGATCTTTTAATTATTAATTTTAATATCTATTATACTGCCAAATTAAATTCTTTCTGAACGGAGAAGGATAAATTTTCCAAAATTCTGAATCTAAAGTAGAGTATTATTACTAGGCAAATTTTTTACTGGAAAAAAATAAGTTTTTATGGATTAAATAAGATGCATGGTCCTTTGGCAAGACTATCTTTAATATCATGACGTATTGTTTAATAATAAAATAGGCTTGAGATCATTTAGTGAAACCTTCATTTTATGGGGACAGAAACTAAATATGAGAAAATAAGTGATCTGACCTCCCAACATATGTCTAATAAAGTGCCGAATTTATCAGAAAACGCTTACAAAGTGAAACTGTTTAGACAAATACTTTCTGACCTTAAAAACATTCCATTTTATACATAATGAAGCATTAGCTTTCTCTAACCTAATTTCCCAACAATTCAGAGCCTCAAAAAAATTATCATTTTGGCTGGAATTTCTACTGCCAAGACTGTTCATCATTTTATCTCTAAAGCTTGCTAAAGTCTTTCTTTGGCTTCCTCTAACAGTATCTTTAAGGCCACATTCTCTTGATCTATACAATCTCTGATATTTCTGCACGGAATAAGAATCTGGCCAAAGGCATTTTATGCGGATGTTACGACATGCCAAGAGGCAGGCAATCTGGACTTCCTGAACGTAACTTAAGTACCAAAACTGCTGAAAGGAAAAACAGATTCCCAAGGGGTTTGAGAGGATATATGTGTCCATAACTCCTCAAGAACCGTGATGGCCCAGGAAGCAGGGATGCCGGCCACACGGAGGGCAGTGATTACAAGGGCCAGGTATAAATTATCTTTGACATTTCTTATATTTAATTAAGACTGGGTAACAGTTAGCTTTTCAAAAATCCTATGGTCCTTTAGCAATATTCGACTTATACCCTGGACAAAAAAAGAAAATATCAAATAATTATTTTAAAATTAATATTTCAAAAATTAAATGCTTTAATTACAATTTTATGCATCAATAATAGCATTTTATGTGCTAGTTCATTGGAAAAGCAATGCATGGTATTGAGTGAAGAACCATTAGAACCCTTTTCACATTTGTTAGAAGCCCAAAAGGTTCAAATAACAAAACAGTGAAAAAAAAATCCCCAAATGGTCAATTAAGAATGAACTTCAGTACGCCACCACCACCGCGATTTTCAGATGTTAATCCCAATGCTCATATACTAATTAATCAGTGATTTTTTTCTTAACTTACATGCACAGCATGCAGACCCTGTTTATCAGTCCATGCATGCGAATAGAATGTTCCAGTCCAAAGCTGAAGAAGCCTACGTTCGTAAAGCTTACCAGAGATGACCCCTGCAGTCAACGTGGCAGCAACTGGTGACTGCCTCTTACTCACTCTGGCAAGAAATCTAAACAGTAAACCATCCCGGGCCATGGCAAACATAATTCGGGGTAAAGGAAACATAGAGCCCATAAGACTAGAACAGAAAAATTCATAATCCACATGTAAGTTATTTTAAGTATTATTCTAGAAAGACATACACAGGTAAAGATGGTACACGCTAAAGTGCAGAACCAAAAAACTCAACATAGGAAACATTCACAAAAGAGTTACCGAACTTCAGGTACATCAAAATAGAAAACCACCTAACTTTCTATTTTTTCCAGAGTCCTGGATGACCAAGATCCCCCTTTTCGTAATAAAAGTCAACTCTCTCTCACCTGCCACCGCACCTGATGATAAAGTAGCAATTATTGGTGTCTTCGTTTTGGAATTGATTTGAGCTAGACATTTGAAAAGCAACCCATCCTCCGCCATAGCATAGATTACACGAGGCATTGGGAAAATGGATCCAAGAAGACTGAATAAAAAGCAAACACATGCAGTATGGCAAACACATTCATGCAAGGTTACATTCCAGAACTGAAATAAAGTAATTATATAAAATTCAGCATAACAGTTGTGATTACGAAGTGTTACCATTTTTTAAATGCACTACGATTGGGCATTTAAAAATATTTGCTAATATTTACCATTGTGCTACTCATTATTCTGTTGCAGATACATACCCAGCAAAATTATCAGACTAAAAACAATACTACAAGTAATCTGTGTGTGTCTACAATTATTACCGAATTAAAACTAAGTAATTAAGAATTTACCAAAAAAAATCTCATTAAGATATTTTTAACAGCAATAATTCAGAAAATAAAATTCCTTAATTGATATGTAATTAAAGAAGAGATTAAGCAATTTTATTTCATAGTAATAATTATTTATAATTATATGCTTTTTATATTTATTTTACCAATATTTTTTCTCATATAGCCTGATCTTTGATCAGATTGGTAATAATTTCCAGCATGATATGATAATCAAGGTAGACAAAGGTAAACAAGAGATCAACTTATGGTAAATTTAGTATACAGAAGTAGCCACAATTGAAAGTAACAGTGAAGTTTAGTATGACAATTTTTGCTTAAGATGTTTTAAATTACTTGTGTTTATTGGCTACACCATTCCATATGTTACTTAGTTGTGAAAAATAATAATTTAAGAGAAAATAAGTAAAATATTTTATTTAAAAATCCATTTTCTTTGTTTTTTAATAAGGCTGGGTTGAGCTTGGCTACAGATGAATCTGTGTCTATCCCTTCTAAGGCCACGGTGGCACGGTGTTGTCACAGTTCAGATTTTTGAAATTATTTGAAGCTATTCACAATAAACCTCAACACCAGAAGATGCCTGAGAAACCAACAGAGTGTAATTGCTACTTAATATTATCTTGACTAGAAAATAAAAGGGACATTGAGGGAAAACAATAAGTTAGGTTGATGAATTCACATTAAAAGATTTCTTTTTCTAATTTCAGACTTTCAGAAAATTATTTTCCCTTCAACAAATACGTGATCAGGCAAAAAGATTAATTTTCCCTTTGTAAGAATATTCTACTGTATGGCACAGTACAACACTAGAATGAAATACCTTACTTATGATCCTATGTTAATTTGAAATGAGGAGCTCTGGAAACCTGAGAAATGAGTTCTAACGTATTAAAACGAGCAGCTACCGAAAATCTGAACGTTTGAGATTCAACTACCTTTTTCTTTTCACATAGATTTTAAGTGAATTTCCACCATTATGAATGATCATTTCTATTTCTAGACCAAGTCCACTCTGATTGGTGCCAAGAGGAGAAACTGTCAGAATTTCACAATGAAAAGCACATTATATGTAAAAATGACACAGCACACAGCTTCTGCTCACACAGACGCAGTATTACTTGAACAGACAACAGTAGACGTGAAGTCTGCACATACGGTCTGAGGATGTCTGGAGCTCTGCGAGTAACACCAAAGCCAGTGAAGCAGCATATTAGAATAAACACCCTAAAGTTTTATAATACATACGTATGTGAATATGTGTGACGAGTGTGTGTGTGTGTGTGTGTGTGTACCAATGCCATATATATATTTCTACTGAAGCTTGGACCTTCATTATCTTGAACAACTGACTCTTAACTCATGTGGGGGCAAGTAGTTTCTATCAACACTTAAGATTTTTACATAGCAATTCTTTTTTTTACCAAACCAGATCCAGGATGTATGGCAATTTTGAACAAACAGGGAATTCAGTGAATACCATAGTTACATAATATGCTCCTTATATTAGGATATTTTAAAAATATACAAAGACAATTTTTGAGACACTGACTACATTTTGTAGGAACCCAAACAGCCCCTGCCCCAAACGCAACGCAACATACCTTGTAGACAAGGCGCAGAGGGAGCCTGCGGCAACAACATATTTGGCAGGACCCCACCCGACGTATTCAAATGCCACAGGAAGGGGGCTTTTTTCATCCAGGAGGTAATATGGCATCATCAGTGTTAAAGCTGCCGAGACCCCAAAATAGGCCATAAAGCAAACAAGCAATGAAGTCACGATTCCAATGGGAATAGCTCTCTGGGGATTCCGGACCTCTTCACCTAAGGAAAAATAAACAAAAGATTTGCCATGTTTAATAAAACATTCACAGGTAAAAAACTTATTTTGTATGACATTCTTCCTCTTCTCCATGATAATTCTCTGTCTTTGTCCCTTTTGTTTCCTTAGCTTGGTCCATTTTATTTTATATGAAATTTCCTTTCTTCTTGAAAGTACATTGCTATTACATAAAAATCCAATTTCCAGAGGAAGAAGAGAAGAAGAGTCACGCAAGACAGTTTCCTGGTTCCAGGAAAAAAAAAAAAAACAAAAACCCTGTAACACACCAGCAATATTAAGTGTATAAGGATAGAACAGTAGTCTTGATCCATTTGGAGAATGATTTATCCACAGAGATTAAATGACTGCCGTGACATTCTTTAGGTCCTTAAATATGAAGCCTTCATGTAAACTTATTTCATCTATTTACACAAAACTCTAGTTTCAATTTTTAAAAAATCAGTATCCTCCTACTAAGATTTAGCATTTGAAGTACCCAAAACATGGTCAATTATAAGGCCACACACACAATGACATAAACCCACAAGAAGCACCTAGAGAGTGATTCTGGCATGATTATTTTGTTGTAAAGGGTAAAGAGGAAAGAACTGGCATGATTTATTTTGTCCAACTGAAGAAGAGACAATTTAAGAACATGATCATCATTTATTATTCATTGTGACAGCACTTCCAGATATGAGGTTAAGGATAGTAATTATGACTAACATTTATGAAGTATTCAATAGCTTGCAAAGTATTTTTCATATGTATTATCTTAGGTAATCTTCATCATATCTGAGGAGTAGGTACTGCTCTCCCAAATTTACCAACGTGGAAACCAAGGCCCAGAGAGTTTCGTTAAGTTTCTTCTTTAGCATCTACAGTAGGTATTACAGCTGGGTCTGGAACTAGTGCCCTTCTTACCCCAAATCCCTCTCTCTTCCCTGGACCCTCTGGCTGCCACACATCAGTACTCATGTGGTACAGGGAACACCTTTCCCTTCTGGGCAGAGCCAAGACACCACTCTTACCAGTCGTTGCAATGCAGTCAAATCCCACAAAGGCATAAAAGCAAGTTGCAGCACCAGCCAGAGTTCCTGCAAAGCCATAAGGCATAAAGCCACCAGCCCCATAGATACTTGTTCCATTTTCAGAGGGCGGCTCTCTAAGGAAGAGAACAAACACATCGGAAAGTCATTTTCATAGAAAATCGTTCCTTCTGGTGATTTATCACAAACTATGTCCTGGGAAGGCTGTTGTATTCTTCGGCCCTTTGAAGCTGATGTATATAAAACTAAAACCTTATTCTTTCACTCTGTCCTGGAGAATGTGGTGGTGCCCCTAACAATGACCCTCTTGTGTCAACAACACCCAATTAGAGCTTGATTGATAGCATATGCAGACGGCCCAGGCCCACTCTCTGGCTGGAACCCACAGCCTTCCAAACTTTTATGTTTGGAAGGAGCCCAGGAAGACGGGTATTAGAATAGAACAGTCCCTAAGAAAGGTCTCAAAATCAGAAAGTTCAAGAACCATTGTTCCAGAGGAAAACTTTCACCTATGTGCTTTTAAAATGTAACATTAAAAAAAGAGAGAAGGGGAAAAAAAACCCAAATATTTTACCTGGCACTCGCTGATATATTTTTGAGAAATTCTTCACTAATCTTCCAGTTTGCCACATTTCCTTTCACAAACCCAGCAACCATAACAAAGAGAAGGACCAGGATATTAACAGCTGTGAAGATTTTATTCACCCAAGCAGATTCTTTCACTCCGAAAGATAAAAGACCTATGGAAAAAGAAAGGAAAGGCATTTTAATTTTTACTTAAGCCTTAGGAAAGGCAATAGCGTTGTGAGGCAAATAGAGGGCTTTAGGATATTATTTCATCAGCATTCCTTTATTTAACTCCCATGCATCCATCCGTTTCTGTTGCTAGTTTTTACTCATTAGTCACCTAATCGTGAAAAAATTTCTTCTGGAACACAACCGATTTGATTTCAGAAGGCAGATTGTGCTCACAATCAGAAGATACCACACTTTGTAAGAAACACATAAATCTAGTAACTTTGGCCATTATCACCACTGATCGTTATATGTAAAGTAACAATTTCAATGAATTGCTGTTCTAAAAAGCCATTTCGAATTTTTATGGTTGTGAACTGTTTGAAGTAAAAGCTCAAACATATGTCCGCCATGTATTTACTGAATAAATAAACAAAACTAATTCTTCCATTGTGCTAAAAAGTACTTTGTTAAATCTATTCTCATTTTCATAGTTTTTTTTTACATTCTGATTGTAAAAGTAGTCGATTTCCTATTCAAGCAATTTGAAGATACAAAAAAAAAAATACAAAGAAGATAAAGATCGACTGTAGTCTCTCCTCCAGAATTCTGCACACAAAAACACATACTCAAACATATTTTCATGGTAGCCATTGTATGACTTTATTTTTAACAACTGCAAAATCTTCTGCTATATTAACGTACCATACTTTAATCACTTATTTATAGAGAATTAGATCACTCATAGTCTCTTATAATTATAAAAAGCACTGACATAATCACCTTTTTATAAATATCTTCCTATACTTTCTAATTATTTCTTTACAACAATTTTCTGCATAATAACATTGTATCAAGGGGTACGCACCTTTATACAAAGCAGTTGGTTCAGACTGTCAAAATATTCTCCAGAGAGTTTGGCCCCAGTTTAAATTGCCCATTTTTTCTATTAGGGTATTCTGTTCATATTCAGAAGATTTATTTATACATTAATGCTATAAGCTCTCTGTCATGTATAGCATTTATTTTTCCCAGTTTAACATTTCCTTTTAACGTGGATTACACATATGTAGGAAAGTTATTAGAATCATCTATACATTTTTCTACAGTTTCTATCTTTAACATGATTTTCCCTTAAACATTAACCTTTGGTTTCTTCTAGTATTTTTATGATTATATTAATCATATTTATATTTTTAATCCATGTGGTATAAGATTTGAATCATGGATCTAAGAAGGTTTATCTTTTACCACTGGGGAAACAATTGTTATAAAAAGATTATGCCAAAGATTTACTTGCTTTTTCCTTACATCTATTCCACCCACCATCAAATAAGGAGAGATTTCTAAACGAGATGAAAGAAGTTGAGTTTCATTCTTCTACCTGTATAATTTCCCAGAGTCGTACAGTAATATAACTGTATTAATGACACAAAGGAAAGTTGTATGGCCAGCACCATTCCTGGCTGCGTAATTGTATGTTAGGTTAGGAACCACTGTTACACACCATGGGGAATAACAAAGCCACTGTCATATTTTATACAAGTTTCCCACATCTCACATGCTCTCTGAGGTCTCATCTCCTACCAACAGTTAGACACCAGTGAATATCTCATCTAAGTACTGCATACACTTCCTGTGTATCTTTAAGAAAACGGTAGCTTCAGGTGACAAGACATTTGGTATTACAATATGAATAGTGATTTATAATGGGGGTTTTGATCTTCGAAGATTCTCAGAACAAAGTTATAACGTAAGCTTAGTGTATATTAAAATGAAAAAATGATGGTGAATGAACACAGGACAAATGACGCAGGCCCTGCCCTAAGTCTTGCCATGGACTATAACGGCTCTAACCACGTCATAGTTACGTGCTTTTCATCGTTTAGAGATTAAAGCTGAATATTTTAAGTTCATTGAAACCATCCCTAAACAAAATATGATGTAACTAATTTAGTGTTAGCTAGGCTGTTTAGAAACCAAAACACAAAAGTCTCTCATTTGTTGAAAAACAATGGGTGCAATTTTTGACGTTAGAAGCAAAATGTAAAATTTTGCAAAACTTTAGAGCCAAAAATTTTGTTCATGTTCTTATCACTATCCCTATAAAAACATTTAATGAAAAACTAACTTTTTGAAGGGTAAAGCTATTTTCAAAATTATATAATTTTGCAAGTAAACATTTCATAATGGACAGAAAGATATTTCTGTCTCAGCTTTCTAAGCAAGGGAGAAAAATAGAGACAAGGTTGGCCAGAAAAAGCAAGGAGCAGATTGCCCAGGGTAAAGCAAGTAGGAAGTAGGAACAGACATGGATTTTACTCTCGGTGCAATCTTCGATGGGTTTAAGCAGGACTGCAGGTAAGAATGACAATCAAAATAGAAAATGCTCAAAATAATTTAAAAAAATATAAAGAGACAGAGGGGATTAGCTATGCTCATAAAATAAAACTGGCTCTCTGAGTGCATACTATGTACCAAACGAGAAGGCTGTACGAGGTACAGACACACTGATAACCTCACCCTGCGGACGAGCAAACTGACTAATGTAAAGATTACGTAAATTGTTCAGTGTTCCAAAGAGAGTAAGTAGCACAACAGGATTGAAAGTCTGGTTGTTCTGACGCTAATTCCTGTGTCTTTCTAAACCACAATGCTACAATACTGATGAAAACGGAAAAATCCCAGTGCCAAGTATGTTTGTCTACATAATGTTGCCATTAAAAACATGACAGGTGATTTGAATATGCTTCCTTTTCAATCAGAAGCTTACATTATATAGATGAAGGCATGACAGAAAAATAGAATTTTTTCTAGAAATAGTATACCTGCAAATAACCTTAGCTGTATCTAACAAGATGAAACAATGTCAAGAAATTATAGTCTTCCTCATTGACACTTCACTGCCATTTTTGCAAACCTGCAATTAGTATTATAAAATCAATGTCTTCATCCTATTATTTAGAGCATGCCAAGTACCATATACTCAGAAGTACTATTTCTACTGTTCTACACAATTTAGACTTATTTTTGAAACACACCTATCACTAAAGATAAAATATGATCCCAGCCAGTGACAAACCCCACAGATGTCCAACAGTAACCTAAATGTATAAATATGCTGACATAGTCTTCAGAACTCAGGCCTTGAATTCAGAAGTATCCTATTTTCCTGGGACAATTAGTTTGGCTTATCATGAGGAGAAGCACAATGGATTTTCTTACCTGCTAGAAGTAATATAAGGCACATAGCAAAAAAGTCTGGATACTCTGCAAGGCCGGTGTAATTCATTCTGAAGTATGTCTTCAAAAACTGCCCAATCTGTTTGCTAAGAAGTTCATCAAAGGTGCCACTCCACGCCCTTGCAACACTTGACGTGCCTTCCCAAAACACACAACATGCAGAGAATACAAGGTCACTGGCAGTAAATTAACATAACATCCTTTGTCACTCTATTCTAGGATAAGCATGAGATAGTTCACATAGATTGATTATTTTAATCACATATAAAAATTATCTTGAGGCCGGGTGCAGTGGCTCACACCTGTAATCCTAGCACTCTGGAAGGAGGAAGGATTACTTGGGCTCAGAAGTTCAAGACCAGCCTAAGCAAGAGTGAGACCCCCATCTCTACTAAAAATAAAAAAATTGGCTGGGCATTGTGGCAAGCACCTGTAGTCCCAGCTACTAGGGAGGCTGAGGCAGGAGGATCGCTTGAAACCAGGAGTCTGAGGTTGCTGTGAGCTATGATGATGCCACTGCACTCTAGCTGGGGCAACAAAGCAAGGCTAATAAATAAACAAATAAAATAAAATAATGTTGATAATTTATGGGAGTATATTGGTAATTACATGGAATTGGGTAACTTTATTTGCAATAAAGAATGATATAATTTTTTTAAAAACCAGGGGTGAGACGCAATGGGATTAAGTCCTCCACTCGGGCTCATCAGACCTGCAGCTGAGCACGAAGGCTTCTGCCCCGGGGGGTGCTATTTCTACCATTCCACACAGTTTAGATTTATTTTGAAAACATACCTATGACATAAGATAAAATGAGATTCCAGCCCGTGATGAAGGCCCACAGCTCTCCGACGGTAACGTAAGTGTACAAATACGCGGACCCCGTCTTGGGAACGCGGGCCCCGAACTCGGCGTAGCACAGGCCTGCCATCACCGAGGCCAGCGCGGCGATGAGGAAGGAGACCACGATACTGGGGCCGGAGTCTGCTTTGGCAACCTCCCCGGCCAGGACGTACACCCCCGCGCCCAGAGTGCTTCCGACCCCGAGGGCGATGAGGTCCATGGTGGACAGGCAGCGGCATAATTTAGTATCTTCTAGACTGTCCAGAGTGACGATTTTTCTCCGGATCAGACATCGGGCAAAAGTCATGGCTGCTCCGCAGGGAATCATTCTGCCAAGGGCAACCTGGGCAGGAGAAGGGAGGAGGTCAGAAGCGCACCTGGAATCATCATTCCTCCATTTAGGGACCCAGTGTCCAGGCACAAGTATAGCAGCTGTTATTTATTTATTTATTTTTTTCACTTGTTAATAGAGGTGTGGCCCAGAGCAATCAGTGGGAGGGTTCAATAAACCAAAGTTGCAAATTTCCTGTAGTTTACTCATATATTCCCCTTTATAACGGACTGCAACAAATGGCTTATGTCGCCAGCGAAGGAATAGCAACCTTGGCTGTTTACAAAGATTTGCCATTTTTGTTCACTTACTACAATTTTTTAAAGATATGATGATAGAAATATATTCCAAGAGATGGCTAATTTAGTCCATGCTACAAAAGGAAGAGAGTGAATTGCCTCCTGTTTTAGGTTCTCTCCCCCCCCCTTTCTTTTCTTTAATTATTCATTCAACTCAGATGTCTTAGGCCTTACTAAATGCCACGGATCCTGCTAAGAACATGTGTAGAATGATGCTACATAGATGTGGTCACTAGCTTTATGGGACTTACAGTCTAGCTGTTGTCTAAAAACTGGTAAAAAAAAAAAAAAAAAAACATGATAACTATGTCTTCTACAGCTTTATCAAGTACGTGGGAGCTTCTCTTGTTTTCATTTTAAACAATTACTGTGAAGCAGATGTGAACATCTTAGAATTTTAAACAATCACCCCCCAAAACATGCTTAGATTGAAAACTGCTATTCAACCATGCTTTACGTATGAATTTGTACCAAAATACACATGCTTATTATATTTATCTGAGATTTCTAAACAGATAAATCAATCCAAAGTCCATGCCACCTATTATTATATGTTCTTTTTTTAACGGAATGAATACAGTAGACAGAAAGTCTCACTCCCCACTCTCCAGAGGCCCAAACAATCAAACACTGAAGAGAAAATCAGGTTATAAAATACGACATGGATTTTAGTAAGAAAAATTATATATATACGTAGTAGAAAAGTTTAAAGCAAACTATACGAAAAAATTTACAGTAATTATATCTGGGTGGTGGGTTTTTACTTCTATGTATTTCATATAATATGTATTATATTGCTAATACCTATTTCTAATGTATCTCCAATGAATATGTACAACTTACACGCAAAATAAAAATAAAAATTAAAAAGGTCTACATGGCCTTGTCTACAGAAACATGTAACTTCAGTATCTTCCACACCACCTGACAGAGTGACAAAGTGTGGCTCGTTGAAAAATTTGCAAATACAAATGAAATCTCCAATTTTGCCCATATTCAGGCTTCCAGAATCAAACCTATCGAATTCACACTTCTATAAATCAAATGGGTATCAATTTCGAAATTGCTAAGCCTTAAATAGCTAATTTTCATATAACATGCCTAGAAGACAAGTCAAGTAAGTGTTCTGCTTAAAAAGAATCAGTAAGTGAAAAGCAGAAGTCATATAAAGGCCTTCTGGGGATGCGGTGGGGGAGAGTATTTACTAAACGCTGAACTTTTGGAACATTTAAGTGTTTTTATACAAACAGAGATGCACAAAGGTCAAGAATGAGGGACCACTGCCAACTGACAAGTGCTCAGAAACAAAGACCCACTGAATGTCACTAATGATTTAAGATCCCTTGAATGTGATATATATTATACTGCTAATACCCATTAGCAGTATACATATACAACTTTAGGAATACAACTGATGGACAAAATGAAGCATACCTGTTTGTCATTTAACTAAATAAAAAACTAAATAAAACATGATGAGAGTACTTGATTAACCTCAGCTTTTATGAGTAAAAGACACAAATCCTACAACTATTGCATATTTAAAGAGAAAGGATCTGGAAGGAAGTAACGAAAATGAAGAAGAGATGGGGGGGTGATAGGATTATGGGTGAACTTTTATTTTTTTTAATCCTTTTTTCTGGTGTTATGGTCACAATATTGTTTATGAAATTTCTAAAGAAAAAATAAGGCAAGCCAACCATAAACAAACTTTCTTTGAAAATGTTAACGGTAAAAACTGTTTATTATTAACTTACTCAAAATGAATAAATTAGTGACGGTCGCCTCTTCAATATGAAATTGAGTTCAATTCACTCCAGATTACACAGAAGCAGGACTGCTTATAGACATGTACAGCAATAATCAGGTAAAATCGGATTTCTGTTGCTTCTTTCCGATTGAGGATGCAAAGTATTTTATGTACAGTTAGTTTTTCTATGTTGCTCTGGGGAAATAAGACAAAGATGCCATTTGTCAAGCATTCATTTGCTTTTGAGTAATAGAAAAGCATACGTCAGAAAATTCTCAGAACTGACAGGTTGCTCAACGTCCTTTGCAAACAATTTCAACTACGCACAGCCTGGTTAAAATACTGATTGCAAAAGCCACAACGAAACTAATTTTGTAGAAATATATAATGCGATGGGAGAAAAGAATGTGAAAACATACTGGGTCAATTTAGTGAGTCATTATTAAACAAACATTTATTGAGTCCTTGCAGGTGTATCACACAGTAGGTGAAGGAAAAAGATAATCTGGTGCTTTTGTAAAATATATGTTTTTGTGGAGACACGCTGATAGGTGAACAGAGTGTGGCCACAAGGGCATGAGAAAAGAATATTTATGCCTTATGTTAGTGACATAATTTGATATGTATGTATTTTTTAAGTTTTATAACTTTCCCCTTAAAAATTTTTAAAAAGATAAGTTCGTTATGTGAAATGGTTATGACAACCCTACTGTCATTTTTACAAGGCACTTTGGTAAAAAAAAGCAAAACCTTCCCAGGATTTACAACAAATACATACGCAGAGATATGCAGGGATTTTGAAGGTGATTGATCCTATTGATCTGCAGGGCGCAGACTTTGTTTTTCCAGGAGCAGACCACGGATCTGCTCCATCACACCACTCCGGCTGTTGCTACTGTGACCGAGGATTCGTATTTAACACGAAACCTACGTACACGTAGTCAAGGACCACGACCCACACTTGCAGAAGAGGCCCGTGCAAAGCTCAGACCCACGTCCTTGGCCTTAAAATATAAACAGTCTCATCAGCATCTCTAGGAGGTCACAAGTGATTCTGAGGATACCAGAAATAGATATGCGTCTTTCTTCAATCAACGATTATTTTATTCATTGCCAAGACAGTGGCCTCTCTCTCGAGGAAGAAAAATATGCACCTATTAGCTTAGAGCTGAAAATATGATGAGCCAAAGGAGGGCCAGAAGGGATTAACAATACGCTTTGCCACAGAAAGGTCTCTGAATGACATTAATGAGCCTAATGATACATGTGGGTCTTTTTCACCCCAACCCCTGTGGGAACCTCAACCTTAAATGTAACAGTTTCTAGGCTCCTTATTCCTTGATGGGGCCCAATTAATTCTTACCAAAAAGCTAAATTCCTTCCTCAGCAACTTAGAATGCCCTCCCTCTAAAACTTCTTCAATCCAGTCACCAATGTGCCAGCACAGAACTTTTAGGTCTAGGAAATGCCTAGGCCTGATGCTATGATATTACCATAGAGCAGGCTTCCTTTCAACCACCCACAGCAAGCTTTCAAAATCTGCTAATCGCAGTCAAAAGTCGATCCTAGATTTTCACTTTATTTCAAAAGTTTGATGTGGCATTTAGTCACACAGAAATAAATCCTTTCCTCCCCTAAGTAAAGGCTGACATTTCAAACTTAATCCTCTGTATCAGTGTCACAGGCCTTGACAATAAATCTTACAGGAGAAACTAGCCGTGGCAGGCCAGTGGGGCCGGCATTCCAGCAAACCCTAGACAAATTAGCTTGTCCAAATTATAATCAGTTTTTTCCTTTCTCATTCCAGTTGCTAGTTTCATGATGAGACATCTGCACTTTCTGTTTTTGGACTGATGAGAAAAGAAATAATTAAACCATATAGAACAAAGATCTTTGCCTCATCGGATTTTTTTCTAGACTTTGATTTTGCAATCTCCAAACCCAATTATATTTCTACAAATTTAAAGTTCCAATACAAATTTTCAAATTATATTGTAGGTTAAATAATTTAGTTAAAAAAAACATATAGACATAATAGCATGGAATTGTTGCTTTTCTCTCATTCTTCTTTTTACTTAGTTTTGAGAAATTTCTCAAAAAATTCATCAAAAGTATAATGAAAGGATAAAAGGCAATCAGAAATTGTAACAGTTCAGGCTTGGTTATCAAAAAAACAGAAACAAATAACAGCAAACTTCTGCATTCAAATCTACAACCTTAATTGTTCTGGAAAACAAGAACACTTTTTCATATACATTTCACTTATATTTGATCCAAAACTTATCCTTTCTCCAAATCAAATTTTTCCTTCCTTCAAAGTTTTCTCCAGGTTGGTAAATGCAAATGTAGATATAAATAAAAATTAAAGACACAGTTGAGGCCACTACAAAGTTAAAACCATTGGAGTAATAACGTTCATATTTTCTCCCCTTCTATACCAAATACTATTGCCATGAAATTAGACTAAAAATGTATTATTTCAAAATTTCTGATATAGAATCCAGACATAGGCAAGCATTTTTCCTATTTGTTTATTCTCAATAAATAAACAGCCAATAGAGAATTTTGGAAAGTTTGTAAAGGCAACTGGTATTTCAAAACGTGAATCCATTTAACTTTAGTATAAGCGAGAATACAGCAGTAGGCAGGCACATCTAGAGTTGTCTTGTTCAAATAGGCACAGAACAATAGAAACAAAATTAAGTGTCCAACTTCTGTTTTTAGACTTCGGGAAGAAGAAGAAATTGAAATGAAGAAAGCAAAGCCCTCGGTGTCTTGGTAACCAGAGTCTCTGCCCAGTCAGCACCCTGCTTTCCCGGTCAGAGCTCGGTGGCAGGCGTGGGCACCAGGCAGGTGCCCGTGCCCGTAAGGTCTTCAGCAAACTTTGGCTAATCCAGCACTCCAAATGCCAGCGGGCACAGCCTGTTCCCTCTCCCCAAGCTGCTAGGACCAGCCACTTCTGTACGCCATTGCAAAACACCAGCAGATACCCTTTCCGAAGTTACTTCAGCTTACTGGGGATCCCTGCCACTGCCGCCTGCCCTCCCCAACAGCACTGTCTTCCCACCCCCAAGCCACAGGTAACTGGACCAGAGACAGACACCCGACTCAGGGTTAAATATTCAAAGACTGGGTACACTCAATTAGATATTCCTGAAACTCCACAGAACACAATGACTCAATCAGTCACAACATCCGGTGCTCTGGCTGAAGTCACACAGACTGGGAGGCCAGTCTGAGCGGTGCAGAGACCAAGAGGCTGGTGGCAGAAGCCAGACCACAGCCATTCAGTGGAGGGCAGAGGTGGAAGATTCTTCTGCCCCAGCAGGGAGATGTGGTGGTGGCGGGAGGTGGCGAACAGGCCAACTTTCCTCTCCCCCAGGCCCTGCCTACTTCCCATGTGCAGTGTGTGAGATCCCCCTGCATTATTTCCACAAACTTCTGTGGCTTCAGCTACCTGGAGTTGTTTCTGGTTCCTGAAACCAGAGCTCCTGATAAAGGTCAAGACCATACTGGAAGGACCTGCTCCTCCTGGCTCTGCTCTCACTTTCAACTCTTCCAAACGCACCTTCTGCCATTTCTGCTACATTTCCTGATATTCCTCTTCTCTCTAAAAGCAGGTGTCCTGGTGGAATGACTTGAATTTGTTTATTTTTCCAATAAGGAACTTAAAGAGTTTAACACACATCAGGCCTGTCCTTGACCCACAGACATATATACCCTCCACTTGATCGAAGGCAGAGAAAAATCTTTTCTTCTTAGACATACATACAACCAATCTAGATTCTTGGCAACGTCATTTCTCCAAACGCTCACTATTGCAATGAGGAACATCCTATACCTAGTCGAGGTCCCAGAAATAATAAACAACGTTTCTATATAGTACCTACTAAAGATGTTTAAAACGTTTTCTTTCACCAATGAATTACAGTAGAAAGCTAGCAGTAGAGCAATTATTTACCTAAATGCAAGAAAGATACAGAAGGAAGCACTGGGAATCTTTTAGCCTACTAGAGAAGGTTTTTAAGTTTCCGGAATCAGAGAAGAGAAGTCTCTCAATATCTGTGCCTTAGGACTTTAATGTTAGTGGGATATTTTTTGCTAAAAAATGTAAAATTCTTGTAAGTACTTCCACTATTTTATTAGTTCAACAGATACTTCAGGGCACTCTATTAGACACTAAAACCATAAATAAAACGGCCATAATTCCTCCTCTTACGGCACTTGCAGTTGTTTGGGTGACAACCATTGTAATATCAGAGAGCAAATGCTTGTCCATGAGGGAAGTGGTGAGGGGCACAGCAGGGTCTCCTAACAGACTTTGATTGGGATTCAGGTCGTTAGAGAAACTTTACTAGAGAAAGCTATATTTAATCGGAGAAATAAAGGATGAGTTGGATTTAGCCATCTGTGCAATGGGAAGGAGGGTGGGAGAGGAGTGGTGGGAATTACGTGTTCCGAGCACAGCGAACAGCAAGTGAAAAGAACAGAAAGTAGTTTGACACGTGTAAGGTTTAGGAATGGGGAAAAGTTAGGAGTAAGCAGGGGGTCCCTAGGCAGTGCAAAGAGCTTGACCTTTACCCTGTGGGCAGTGGGGAATCATTGAGGACTTCCAGCCAGATACGGAATTTGAGAAATATCATTCTGATTGTATTGTAGGGAAGGGATAAGAAAGATCAAGACTGGAGTTAAGGAGAAAGATAAACGGACTACTGGAATAATCCAGGCATCAGGGACTGTGACCTACTCTAGGGTAAGGAGAAACAGAGGAACCGCAGAGCTGAGCTTCTCTTGGTCAAGGAGGAGGTCGGGGTGGGGAGGGGCAGAAGCGTTTATTCACTGGCTGGTACACTGTTGAGCTCTTATTCTATTGAAAGCTACAAGTCTAACTTTATGTGGCATATAGTTTATAGATAACAATAAAAGGGAATGAACGAGTTATGTCAGATTGACCTCAGTATAACTTTGTGCAAGGAGGGTTCTGTTTTGTCTTTGTTTTTATCATTTAAAACTTGCACTCCCATTCTAAAAATAAAAAAATAAACACATAGTAACTTTAAATATATTCCTCTAGAATATAGTTGAAATTTCCACATCTAATTCTTTGGACCATCAGAAAACTAAACAGTAACATTTGGCAAGACATTTTCATGGAACTAGGTATTTTATAATAAATGAGTGGGTTTTCTAGATTA